TGATTTTCTACATAATTGTGTCATTAGCACAGAAAATCTCATGGTACTGTAGCCATCCAATCTGGCTTCACTAAGAAAAGCTTTAAAATTAATTTTGGGACCAAAAGCAATAGTAACGAGGATAATTGCATGCATTGTTATATGTGGGTTTATGTGTTGGACACCTAGGGAAGAGCTGGCAAACATCTGGAAATGACAATCAAAACCTCACACACAATTACAATGACATTTACACATCTGCCAACATGAACAAATACCTATTTACTGAGTTATGAATAGAGAGTCTCATTCAATCAGCCGCATATAGTAAATTCATTTTGAACTGGACAATATGTAGCAAATGCTGGTTATGATTCAGATTCCTGGAAAAACATGCAGATCTGAATGACTCATCTTTCTATTCACCCACACTATGAATTCACTTCAATTAATTTTCACTTTCAAATGTGTGTGGACTGGAACCACAACCTTGGCTTTGAATAGCAAAACAGTGATGAGAAATCCCAAAAAGCCTTTGTGTGAATGAATGGCTGAGGGACAGTGCCAGCATAACACATAAACGAATCAAATATTTTCTTGACTCATAATATACACAGTCCTACACTGTGCAATGTTTTCTCGGCTATGAAAGAAGGCTTTGAAGCTTATAATTGGTTCAGCGCACAATTTACAACCAAGACAAATAGTAGAGCCCATGTTCACCGGTTAAATAGCAGCAGAGTCAAACATCTGAGGAGAATATTACAGGACTTGTACAGGAATCAGCAAAGCTATACAGTCACACAGAACACAGAATGGAAAAGAACACACGGTCTCTAGATGTGTTTTTAAAAGTTTAAAAGCTATAACCTTTCAAGACACATACATTCATCTATAATGCATCCCTTATGAAAAACATGGCTATTGTAGGCTAGTTAAACTATGGTTATCACAAATTAACCATGGTTTTGCTATAGGTCTAATAACCAGAGCTTAACCATGGTATTTGTAGTAAAACTGTGGTTATACAAATGGTAATCAATCTGCCAAAAAAACATGGTTACTACACTTTTACTATAATAAAACCATGGTTAATTTACTTAAGGGATGTTTACATATAAAAATATTTGAAGTAGAATGAAGTAGAAATCAAGAACATGTTCGTTCACACTGAATGCTGACTTATTTAAAAAAAAACGAGATAAGCGGTTTTAAAAACTGAACATATTTTGCTTTACATGGTGTCTAAAAAACTTGCTGCGTGTACCGAGACGATAAAGCAACAAAAAATGTCGTTTCAAGTGTGTGTGTGGGACTCAAATGCATCTTATCAACACCACGGAGCCTGAGGCAAGTCAAGCTTTCTCTGATTGGATACTGTCTGACAGGTCGAGCTCCAGTCACGGTTCCCAATCACGTCTGTGAGGGTGAAAAATCACTGGCTCAAACAAATGACCAGATCATCTCCCATTTCTGCTGGAGTTTTTTCTTATATGTCATGCTTTTACTGCATGGAAGCCACTGAACACAATGTTATATGCTGCATTGATTTCACACGGAGGGCACCCAATGGGGGCCATTTCTTACAATATCAGGTCGAGCCAAGCCAACAATACAATGGCACAGATTTGGCATTCTTAAAGCAGGTTTGGTTCAGCTCAAAGCTGAAACTTGTTGAACAGTGGTTGTGCTGAACATCCATGGGTACTTTGGCTCATGAATATTTAACAATGGACATGAATACTGAAATGTGGCCTGCAGCTAGGCACCTGTTAACAGCCCTTATGTGTAAAGCAGCAAAAAGAGCATCCAAAAGAATGACTAAATACTTTCTGTTTTACTATAAAACACTTCTGTTAACACATTTTCAATTTAGGCTGGGCTCGTTGGCATTGAATAAGGTATTTGTCACTGGCATTATTCATTAGCTTATTTGCATATGTTCCATTAATCGTGTAAAACAAAGCTGCAATAAATCTACATAACAAACTGAAAAAAATGTCGCTGAATCCTTTGGATCAACCAAACAAAATTTCTGTCAGGACCACTATCGTCAAAATGATTGATACCCACCCCCCACCCCCACCCCCAATGGTAAACAGAACAGAACAAAGCAGATATCAGTAATGTTCTTAATAATATTTCAGATATCAATAATGTTCTTAATAATATTTAAGTGTAAAAAGGAGTCTGATTCAATGAGAAATATCAGAAAGCCAAGTCCTGACTGTGGCGAAAGGAGGAGTTGGGGATGGAGGAGGGTAATTTGCTCCTGAGCAAGCGATAAATCTGCTGAATAATACTGAATAGACCTTAAATAGGAATGTCATGATAGGCGTCATGTTCCTATAGGTAGATGTGGATCAGCTGAGAGTCAGCTGATGCAAGCTTAACTCACGTGACCTGCCAGAACTAACACTATACGCTTCATTTAATTGTTCGATCAGGCAGAAATAGCTCAATTGCAGGTTCTGCTCTGCTCTTTTTACAATTTATTGAATTCAGTAAAGTAGGTGCCAGGTTTGAGGCTTATTTTAATACAATTCTAAATGAATGAGGAAAATATATATTCAAGGAACATCAACAACATATTTCCTGCCAAAAAAAAAAGAACATTTGCAGAAAATGTAGTCACCACCAGGCCATCCAAGATGTAGATAAGTTTATGTAGATAAATCACAAGACATTAATTGGTTGACTGGAGTCGTGTGGATTACTTGTGGATTATTTTGATATTTTTTTATCAGCTGTTTGAACTCTCATTCTGATGGCACCCATTCATTGCAGAGTTCATTGTAATGCTAAATTTCTCCAAATCTGTTCAGATGAAAAAACAAACTCTTGTATATGGCCTGAGGGTGAGTACATTTTCATTTACGGGTGAACATAGAGACTGTAACATTATCTGTGAGATGTTGTCACTGCATTTATGCCTAAACCGAAGCAGAGACCTTTGAGAGTGGCCTTTAAAAGAGTAATTAGACGAATGATCATGTAAAAAAAACAGGACCAGCTGACAATGAGGGGAAACTGCACAGAGAAAATGAATTTCCCTCCATTGCTGACAGGAGTATGGGTTTTGAGTGTTTTACTTTGGCAATTCATAATGTTCTCAGCCGGTGTCTGATGATGAGTTATTGGAAATGGTTCTTTCGTGTCAGACCCCTGCTGATGTATACGTGTGTCATAATGTAACCCCGTTATGGTGTGACTTTAATTGGATTCACAGAAAACATAGTCCAAAAATTATCAAATGACACCCGAGTTCATTTTAGTATGAATACAAAAACAATTGAATACAAATTTGAGTTTTGCTTTTTGGGTTTGTGTTCGAGTCAAGTTCTAATTTTTTTATGAATTAATTTTTTCCATGGTCCACCTATAATGTTTTCCGAGCAAAACAAGCTTTGTGGATTTTCTTATTTGCTTCTAGCATTGTTTTCCAGACCTGTGGTCTCCAGATTTGAGGTCTTCGGGTCTTTTAAGTTTAAAGAATTTTAAAGTGCATGTCATAACCCACATTAACTTGTTTATATCGGTTGATTCCTCCTGTTTTGCTGAATGGCAAGGACAATAGAGATAAGGAAAAAGTCCAGTTTCTTGCAGGATTGACATCGAGTTGGCACAATGGATTGCTGCAATTATCTACAACTAGACAAAAGCCTCTAAACGTAGAAAAATGTGTTTTGGTGTTTGCTTCATTTGCTTCTATGCCCTTAATTTAATTCAGTGCTTAACAGAAGGCAAAGGCAGAATGGTTCTTCAAAGGATGTCTGGGATTTGACAGGCTCGGAGAGGAATTTATGTATTTTATGTACTGTGTATTTTAGTAGAGTGAAATTTACACAGCAAATAATTTATTTAGCTGAATCTCTCTGGGGAAAAAGGACTGTGACACAGGGCTTATTCTTGGTTTTCTTGAAGGCAGATGGAAAATAGAAAGGATTTGATATGAGAGTTTCTGTTGTAACCCAATGGATAAGCAGTTCTTTTGTAATTAATATTCAAGTGTGTCATTTCTGAGCAATGTAAATATACGGCTCAAGTTGTTTATTTAAAATTGTTGATCGTGAACATTCAAACAACAGTGGAAAATGGTCCCAAATGTTACAAAAATACATATACCATGTATCAAGCTTATTTAAATGTGGATACAAAAATGTTCACATGTACACATGACTGTAAAGAATTTGGGTCATGCTTTTTGTGAATTTATTACTTGAAATGCACCATATGTGTTGCATGCGGTATGGACAAATATTACTCACTTTCACAGCACAGATACACAGTTAATATACACAACATCCAGTTTTTCAGCTGTGCACTTACATATTATGCTTCACCTAAATTAATATACAATAAACAGCATATCTACACATTGTTCCAAAACCAGACAGCCTATACAGAGCAAATGATTAAAATAGGCACATTTTCCTATATGAATTTATATAAAGTTCACCAAGTACACTGCTAGCTATCTTTTATATATTGAAAATTACAACATTTTATTTAACATTTTTATAAGAATATACATTCTTTATTGTGGTAGATTAGAGGTAATCTGGCTAATCACACATTTAAAATAAACATATGTCATCAGACAATATTGGGCAGTGATTTGAGGCTTTAAACTCTTTTCATTAAATATATTACTATAACCTTTGCAAGAAGTCCCATTTGGTGTACATTCCCTTTATATATTCTATCAGATGTGACTGTACATGACTTTTTACACTCCACTGGAAACAGAAACCACAATCCAGAACTACCTTTATGTGGCACTGACCCAGTTCGAGTCGCTTTCCGGGACTTCACAGGCCGTGATCTGGCTGCAAGTCCATCTTAATGAGAAAAACTGTGAGACAAGAACATTGGTGTGACAGGGCAGACTGCTTTTTCATTTCCCTTTAGCTTGTACATAAACACAAAAATCCTTCTGCTTGAACAAGCACTGCAAGTTACCACTGAAACCAAAGGACGTAAAAAAAAAAATGTTGTGTCACAGTACAAAGAAAATGGTAAGTTTACAGCATTAGCATTACTGCAAAGATTTACAATGCACATAAGTACTAATTCCATTGTTAAGCATAAATTGGTCGACATGTATTATTCCAAAGATTAAGATTAATAATAAGCATTGTAAAAGCCTATGACAGTTCTATCAAGCTCCAACAGTGCCATCCTTGTCATCGTTGATCTCACAATTGATAGTTTGTTCTTTGCACAAAAGGATTTGACATTAGACCATTAAACCATCAATTCACGGCGATACACGGCACAATGACACTCAAACAAGCATGCAAAATGAATGTTGACACCGCTGGGATGACTGATCTGGAATGATAGTGCAGAGAAGGGCATTCGGCTTCGAAATGTGCCTAAACACACACACACACACTCACACAGGACTGAAAACATCATAAAAAAAAAATATGAACAACATGTTTCGAAGAAACATCACATTTGGTCTCTACAGTATATCTCCATATTGGATATTCAACAATCCACTTTTGGTTGCCTTTTTGTTTTTTAACTTGCCTCATAAGCAAAATACATAAGTGCAGTCCAGGTAAAGAATCCCTAACCTCTTTTTCCAACAACGTATCATCAGACATTCTTGATGATGCTGTTGCTTCAATGTCCCTGCAGATCTGAGTCGGGCACAAAATGACGGCAAAACTGCAATCTCGCTGCTCTCCAGAAGATCACTGTGGCTTTATTTACAGGTTTTATGTGTTGCTGAAGATGATCATTGCCTGTCCAATATCATGTTTTTCATACAAGAACCTCATTAAAGACTCCTATGGCATCAAATTGTGCTATGTTCAGCAAATGTAAGGTTTAGTATATCTCCAAATATTATAATACAGTCTGAAATTCAGAACTGAATTTCACTAGGACACTTCCCGAGCGTCTTCATGCCCTTTACAGTCTCATTCTGGTAACCATAACCCATTGTTGTAGATACTAAGTTAGACTGTGATGGACGTCTCGTCTTGACATGCGGATGCACGGCGAGTCTTGGGGCTGCAGCGAGTCAGCATGGAGATCTGCGTGCTGAAGTTGTTACCATTGCTGCCCATAGATGGGTGCTGGTATTTGGTGTCAGGACCCAGAAACCTTTCGAGGTGCCATCGCCTCCATTTCCTCTTGATCTCAGCTTGGACCTGAGAGCCAGACAAGTTCCAGTCTAATCAATTGATGGTGGATAAAACGTATTCATGCTCTACAGTTTTGCACAAAAACTCTACAAGTTACATTACGTAACTGTAAATAAGGAACATTAAGGAAGTAAAAATGGTTGCAACTGGGTTTTACACAACCCAGGCTCACTGGAAATGCTTGACTCGGGCTGTATTTTTGCAAAACTTGAAGTACACTTTGTATTTCGCTACACAATGTTTTAGGTGACATCCACATAAGGTGCTACAAGCGATTTAATTTTTCCTCCAATGCAAATGTTGGTTTATTAAAAAGCCCAGTGTCATGACAAAAAGCATGCTTTTTTTGCAAAAAGATACTGCATTGCTTGTAGCACAGCAGTTTTAAAGTGAAATCTCTATTGACTGGTGGTAAATTGTGTGTTCAGTTTTTCAGTTTTTGGATTCTGGCTGCCAATGTTTTTACCGTTGATCAGCTGGAGAAAAGATGTTTTGAAAGTGATTCCAACGATATCATTCCTCTGTGCCGTTATCGTTCTGGTGGTGTTGTGGACTAAATTTGGACTGATTTTTTAAACTGACTGATGTTTGGACTGATTTTTGAAAAGTGTTAATGCTGCTATCCAAACCTTGGTGTGCACCGAACAAGCAGAGTGAGACCCAACTTTTTAGGGGGTCTCAGTCCGCTTCCAAATAAACTGGTGCAGTTTGACTAAAATATATATATGCAACAGGGACCAAAGACATCTACACAAATCAAAAACAAGATGTGATGTCACAAGATGTGACCCTAAAACAACAGAATGCTCAAGCATACCAGATTCTTCTCGTCATAAGTGGAAAAATTCTCTCCCCTAAACCACGCACTCTCTGTTCTCTGCGGTGGCTTCTCCTGGCAGCAACAATCGTAGTCATGTCAAGTGTGAATTGAGTTAAGACGTGCTTTTCTTGGGCAGTACATAATGGCGCAAATACCAGTAAATTGACTACTGCAAACCTTAGTAAATCATGTTGCATGATTCATTTAAATACACTCCTCTCATAAATTTTGCATCTGAAGGGAAACTCCTACAAATGCATATGCAATAAGGTCAGCCGCAAAAATGACTGTCCACACCTTTTCATCACTATTTTTTACTGTATTTCTTTAGGACATCCTGACAGCATTTTTAATGCCAAAAGAGGGTTTGCACTGGTGCAAGCATTTAGTAAATCTGGCCCTAAATGTCTGGTGACCCTAAACGATTAATGCTCTCTCGCGTTTGAAAATAATGCTACAATAAGTCCTACCCTAAAAACAACCAATAGTGTTAATTAAAGCCAGCATGAGATACAACGTATTTGCAGAAGGAAGCAACTGTGCCATTTTAGCTTGCATCTAGTATTCTTTACTAGTCTACTATTCTTACTTATACTGGCTCCACATTGAAAGTGCAATGATGTATCAGGTGAGTTATCGAGCAAGTTTACTTCATCAGAAAAGCCATACATGTGGAGCTGGTTATGCGATGCAAACATGAAACTCTGTTAGTTTACAAATCATGCACTATGGTAAAAGTATTTTGAGATAGGAACATAGTATTGTGCAAGGAACAGTACAAAAATATTTATTTATTTATCAATCTGTCACTGTAATTATAATTTGTGTGAAAAGGAACAAAAGTTGTTTTACTGCCTCTAGTGTTCACCTGAAAAGTGTGATGTATTTCAAGTTTTGCACAAATGTAGTCACTTATTTCCAGTGATTGGGTTGATTTTTATAGTAAAACAGGATCATTTTACACATAGAAATCAGTTTAAATTTGTACACTAGTTGTTAAACTTCATCTGTGGGGCACAAACATGTGAAATTATTTGAATGCACCTGGAATAAAGTCTGCACCTGTGACCCTTTTATTTAATCTGTACTACAAGCAAAAAGGCCCAAGATGCTGTGAACATCCTTTGCCAGTATGTCTAGAGCTATTTGCAGCCTGTGTGAGCTAGCAGAATCTAAGACAATTACAGGCTTCAGCTTTTTTTTTTCTTTTAAGATCCTCTGTACTCTGTCTCACCTTCTTCACTTACAGTACAACCGGAATAAAGTGAGTGAGTGAGTGAGTGAGTGAGTGACGTGACATGTGGCCAAGTATGGTGACCCATACTCGGAATTAGTGCTCTGCATTTATCCCATCCAAATTGCACACACACAGCAGTGAACACACACACACCGTGAACACACACCCGGAGCAGGGGGCAGCCGTTTTTTGCTGCAGCACCCGGGGAGCAGTTGGGGGTTCGGTGCCTTGCTCAAGGGCACCTCAGTCGTGGTATTGAAGGTGGAAGAGAGTCCACCTTCATGTGGGGAGTGTACATTCACTCCCCACACCTACAATCCCTGCCGGTATGAGACTCGAACCCGCAACCTTGGGTTACGAGTCCAACTCTCTAACCATTAGGCCACGACTTCCCCCCTTTTAATGAAACTTCAATATAGGAAGAGGCTTCTGATCAGCTGTGACTGAGTGCACCTAAAGATTCTGTCTGTTTATCCATCCATCCGTGTCTTACCTCTCCATTCATGAAACAGTAGAGCACAGCAACCACAAAACCCTGTTAAAACAAGTGAAAGCAACTTACTCATATGCCACTGTAGGTACAATGAAAGTATTACAAGGTCATTAATTCAAAGCATTACGCACGGGAATGTGTAATGCTAGATGTCTAGAGATTCCTACCAGACTGTCTAGTATGACTGTGGCCTAAAAAATATGGGTTGGTGTGTCCTGTAGCACATATATTTAAATAATGGGGACAAACCCTTCCTGAATTCATGCCAGTCGTTCTGGTGGCTCTGCTTATGAAAGTTTTTTTATTCAAACGAACAGATTTTTTTCCATTTTGTTACATGAAGGTCACGTTTGAAACTGTCTTGAAAACCTTCTATCGTGCCTTCATATTTTTTCCCCCTTTTTTTGCAATTTTTGTCAAAATTTTAAAAATAGATTTGATTGTTTTACTCTTTTCCCAGACCCAGATTGTTAATATTCAGATCATAGGGAATTGTTTTTTTTTCATAAATAATTTAATATGAAATAATTTAAATATTTATTGTATGGAAATGGTTTAAATACATATTCAAAATTAACGACTCTCTGACTACAGTTGTGGCAATTGGTTTTTACCCTAATAAAGTTTTCTGAAAAGTTAATGTATTTACCTAATGAGGAGAAAGAAACATTTTCATAAAACAAAATTGGTAACTTTTTACAGTAAGGTTCCATTTGTTAACATTAGTTAACCACATTATTTTTTATTAAATAAAATAAACAAAGATGAATAAATACTGCAACAAATGAATTGTCCATTGTTATTTCATTGTCATTAACTAACATTAATTGTCTTTTCTAATGAAGCTCTATTAATGCAAAAAAGAGTGAAAATATTGTGTTATTGTTCGTATTTAGGATACAAAAATGTGCTAGTTTAAAATGCCTTAGCAAGACAAAGAAGCAAACATTTGAATAAAAAAAAAAATGTTAAATGTAATTTTTAAACCAATTTCCAACACAAAATTTAAACACAATAAATCATTCGCAAAGTGGTGGAAATGTCCATGACCTTAAAAATTAAATTGAATAAACTAGTGAGAATGTGAAAAGTGTTTATAAGAGAGTTTATTTTCTAAACATCCACAGGGCAAAAGTGGCCACAGTTGAGGAAACACCCAATTATGCCATTAAAAAAAACAATGGCCAATAGCTAAAGTGTGTGAGAGAGAGATTCTCTATGGAGACTGTTTGAGGAGCCCTGAGCAGTTCTACCAGACATCATTAAACTATTCTGCTATCTGAACAACAGTGCTACGATTAGCTTGAGAGCATTTCCTGTCACTGGCAACTACTGATATTTGGGCTCTACTTTTTTTTTTAGCGATTAGTTTGAGTGATTATCCTCAGACGATTATTCTCAGTGAATCTTCAGACGTACCTGAAATGACCCAAGAATGAGGTCAAACACAAGCCTTAGCTCAGTTTTTATGTTCTCAGGAATGAAAGCAAATATGATGAAGTTTATCCCAAAGAGTGGAATCAACAAAAGTGTGGATTTTGCCAGCCTCCTATAGAAAAGAAGAAGAAAAAAAATACCAGTAAATTGACTACTGCAAACCTTAGTAAATCATGTTGCATGATTCATTTAAATACACTCCTCTCATAAATTTTGCATCTGAAGGGAAACTCCTACAAATGCATATGCAATAAGGTCAGCCGCAAAAATGACTGTCCACACCTTTTCATCACTATTTTTCACTGCACGTCTTTAGGACATCCTGACAGCATTTTTAATGCCAAAAGAGGGTTTGCACTGGTGCAAGCATTTAGTAAATCTGGCCCTAAATGTCTGGTGACCCTAAACGATTAATGCTCTCTCGCGTTTGAAAATAATGCTACAATAAGTCCTACCCTAAAAACAACCAATAGTGTTAATTAAAGCCAGCATGAGATACAACGTATTTGCAGAAGGAAGCAACTGTGCCATTTTAGCTTGCATCTAGTATTCTTTACTAGTCTACTATTCTTACTTATACTGGCTCCACATTGAAAGTGCAATGATGTATCAGGTGAGTTATCGAGCAAGTTTACTTCATCAGAAAAGCCATACATGTGGAGCTGGTTATGCGATGCAAACATGAAACTCTGTTAGTTTACAAATCATGCACTATGGTAAAAGTATTTTGAGATAGGAACATAGTATTGTGCAAGGAACAGTACAAAAATATTTATTTATTTATCAATCTGTCACTGTAATTATAATTTGTGTGAAAAGGAACAAAAGTTGTTTTACTGCCTCTAGTGTTCACCTGAAAAGTGTGATGTATTTCAAGTTTTGCACAAATGTAGTCACTTATTTCCAGTGATTGGGTTGATTTTTATAGTAAAACAGGATCATTTTACACATAGAAATCAGTTTAAATTTGTACACTAGTTGTTAAACTTCATCTGTGGGGCACAAACATGTGAAATTATTTGAATGCACCTGGAATAAAGTCTGCACCTGTGACCCTTTTATTTAATCTGTACTACAAGCAAAAAGGCCCAAGATGCTGTGAACATCCTTTGCCAGTATGTCTAGAGCTATTTGCAGCCTGTGTGAGCTAGCAGAATCTAAGACAATTACAGGCTTCAGCTTTTTTTTTTCTTTTAAGATCCTCTGTACTCTGTCTCACCTTCTTCACTTACAGTACAACCGGAATAAAGTGAGTGAGTGAGTGAGTGAGTGAGTGACGTGACATGTGGCCAAGTATGGTGACCCATACTCGGAATTAGTGCTCTGCATTTATCCCATCCAAATTGCACACACACAGCAGTGAACACACACACACCGTGAACACACACCCGGAGCAGGGGGCAGCCGTTTTTTGCTGCAGCACCCGGGGAGCAGTTGGGGGTTCGGTGCCTTGCTCAAGGGCACCTCAGTCGTGGTATTGAAGGTGGAAGAGAGTCCACCTTCATGTGGGGAGTGTACATTCACTCCCCACACCTACAATCCCTGCCGGTATGAGACTCGAACCCGCAACCTTGGGTTACGAGTCCAACTCTCTAACCATTAGGCCACGACTTCCCCCCTTTTAATGAAACTTCAATATAGGAAGAGGCTTCTGATCAGCTGTGACTGAGTGCACCTAAAGATTCTGTCTGTTTATCCATCCATCCGTGTCTTACCTCTCCATTCATGAAACAGTAGAGCACAGCAACCACAAAACCCTGTTAAAACAAGTGAAAGCAACTTACTCATATGCCACTGTAGGTACAATGAAAGTATTACAAGGTCATTAATTCAAAGCATTACGCACGGGAATGTGTAATGCTAGATGTCTAGAGATTCCTACCAGACTGTCTAGTATGACTGTGGCCTAAAAAATATGGGTTGGTGTGTCCTGTAGCACATATATTTAAATAATGGGGACAAACCCTTCCTGAATTCATGCCAGTCGTTCTGGTGGCTCTGCTTATGAAAGTTTTTTTATTCAAACGAACAGATTTTTTTCCATTTTGTTACATGAAGGTCACGTTTGAAACTGTCTTGAAAACCTTCTATCGTGCCTTCATATTTTTTCCCCCTTTTTTTGCAATTTTTGTCAAAATTTTAAAAATAGATTTGATTGTTTTACTCTTTTCCCAGACCCAGATTGTTAATATTCAGATCATAGGGAATTGTTTTTTTTTCATAAATAATTTAATATGAAATAATTTAAATATTTATTGTATGGAAATGGTTTAAATACATATTCAAAATTAACGACTCTCTGACTACAGTTGTGGCAATTGGTTTTTACCCTAATAAAGTTTTCTGAAAAGTTAATGTATTTACCTAATGAGGAGAAAGAAACATTTTCATAAAACAAAATTGGTAACTTTTTACAGTAAGGTTCCATTTGTTAACATTAGTTAACCACATTATTTTTTATTAAATAAAATAAACAAAGATGAATAAATACTGCAACAAATGAATTGTCCATTGTTATTTCATTGTCATTAACTAACATTAATTGTCTTTTCTAATGAAGCTCTATTAATGCAAAAAAGAGTGAAAATATTGTGTTATTGTTCGTATTTAGGATACAAAAATGTGCTAGTTTAAAATGCCTTAGCAAGACAAAGAAGCAAACATTTGAATAAAAAAAAAAATGTTAAATGTAATTTTTAAACCAATTTCCAACACAAAATTTAAACACAATAAATCATTCGCAAAGTGGTGGAAATGTCCATGACCTTAAAAATTAAATTGAATAAACTAGTGAGAATGTGAAAAGTGTTTATAAGAGAGTTTATTTTCTAAACATCCACAGGGCAAAAGTGGCCACAGTTGAGGAAACACCCAATTATGCCATTAAAAAAAACAATGGCCAATAGCTAAAGTGTGTGAGAGAGAGATTCTCTATGGAGACTGTTTGAGGAGCCCTGAGCAGTTCTACCAGACATCATTAAACTATTCTGCTATCTGAACAACAGTGCTACGATTAGCTTGAGAGCATTTCCTGTCACTGGCAACTACTGATATTTGGGCTCTACTTTTTTTTTTAGCGATTAGTTTGAGTGATTATCCTCAGACGATTATTCTCAGTGAATCTTCAGACGTACCTGAAATGACCCAAGAATGAGGTCAAACACAAGCCTTAGCTCAGTTTTTATGTTCTCAGGAATGAAAGCAAATATGATGAAGTTTATCCCAAAGAGTGGAATCAACAAAAGTGTGGATTTTGCCAGCCTCCTATAGAAAAGAAGAAGAAAAAAACATAACAAATAGCTTTATGGGATACTTTCCTGTCATTCATAACCTGCACACAGTGCAGGGCTGCAAATGATATTATTATCAAGTGATATCAAAAAGCATATTACTGGAATAACAACATTAGTGATGCTGGGTAGAAAATTGCAGGTGCTTAAGAATTGAGTCTTGTTTTGTGTGAACTGAACAGTGGAGAGCTACTTAAGGACAAAGGACATTAAATCATCCGAACAGGGGCAGAGAGAGCCAGTGACATTTTAGATGATGAGATTGCAGTGCAGTGGGTTCTCGCTTGCTGCTGGAGAGGCCAGCTAAAATATCCACATATTTTATGCCCATGTTAAAATTACATAAGCTAAAATGTTTCTCATGTACCTCCAGTCCTCATCCTTCCGAAAAGACCAGAATAGTTGGTCTAAAGCAGAAGTTGTGCTTTAGATGCTGGTGTCCCCGTGAGACTTCATAACTATCTTAACCAACAAGAATCCCTTGGCCAACCAAATTTTGTTTTCTGCTGGTTTTGCTGGTTAGCTGCAGGCTGGTCTACCAGCTAGACCAGCACTTCCCAGCTTTAACCATTTTGGACCAGAATTTAAATGGATAGTTCACCCAAAAATTAAAATTCAGTCTTCACCACTTTCTTTCACCCATGAAAGCTCTGAAAGATTCCGCTCTATTCCATGCAATTACAAATAATGTAAACTTCAAGCTTCAAAAAGAATGCAAAAAAGTAATCATAATAAAAGTGGCCATATGACTCATTTGATAGATTCCAAGTCTTCTGAAGTCATATGATAGCTTTGAGTGAGGAAAAGATATTTTGAGAAATTTTAGTCACTATTATAGTCACAGGTAATCTTCTCCTTCGCTGCAGTTCTCGAATCTCATTCACATTTGTCAAGACGTCTCACACTAGGTTAACATCTCATTTAAAAGGGTAAAATCTCCTTTCGTGCTGCACAGTCATATGGGTTTAGAATGACATGAGGGTGAGCAAATGATGACAGAATTTTCATTTTTGTGTGAACTATCCCTTTAAATTTTATGCTGGTCCTCTCAGTAGGATGAGGAGGTAAAAGAGAACTAATTACAGAATTAATCTTATATGAATGCAAAAATATGTTTTTTGAATGGGTTCTGAATACTTACGAATATTGGTTTGATTCATTTCTCCCAATGTCAGGACAGTTGATCTTCTGCCGCAGTATCCGAATGATACAAATGAAGAGGATAAAGTTCATCTGTTGTTGGTGACAAACAACAAAATAACAAAATAGTGGGTGTTGCTATTTTGTAGAGCTTCATGATTAAGCACAAATTACTGAAATCACTGAGGGGTCAAAAAGCCAATGGTTCCAAAGCACAGTGTTTATATGTCTCAGAGAAAGCAGGGACTGGTGTCTGTTAGCAAAAGGAGAAAACAAAACTACCTCCTTGAGACGGCAGCGAGACAACATTAACTCTAAGTAGACGAGATGGACTGTAGCAAAAAACAAGCAATAACTGAGCAATAAGCATGTCTGAGTGGGGGAAGACGAGAAGAGCCTCAGTTTTCCAGCCTAACATAGCAAATCCCAGACACCATGAATAAATCTGCATTAACATTCCACTAGAGTGACAGATTGTCATTCTTTCTCTCAAGACCTTCTTTCTTTCTCTTAAATCTCTCAAAAGAAAAGCCAAGAAGGGCTTGTAAGAGTGTTTTTCACACCTTTCAGCCCTTATCGATATATCATGTATAATGTAAATCCCTAGAGAGATAACATCGCCATGGGACATACGTCAACAGGTTTGAGTGTTACTGACATCTTAACACTCAGCACTAAGCAAATCATTATATTGTAAGGGTATAAACAAACAGCCAAAACACAAAGTGAAACTCATGAGAGAGTGATTGCTAGGTATTCACAATAATTATTATAGGAGTTTAGAATTATTGGAGGGGAATAATATTGTTTATGTGGAGCAGCCCTAATAAAGATCATGAAAATTGGTGTTTCTTTTAGGGAAAAGCAAAAGACTATATATATATACCCATACTCTGAATTTGTGCTCTGCATTTATTCCATGCACACACATAGCAGTGAGTAATGAACAAACACACACCCGGAGCAGTGGGCAGCCATTTTTGCTGTGGCACCCAGGGAGCAGTTGGGGGTTTGGTGCCTTGCTCAAAGGTCTCACTTCAGTCATGGTATTGAGGCTGGATCATTCTGTACATTCACTCCCCCCGCCTACAATCCCTGCCAGTACCAAGATTTGAACCTGCGATCTTTGTGTTACAAGTCCAACTCTCTAACCATTAGGCCACTACCTAATGTTTACACTACCAATCAGTGAAGATGGATGAGATGTGTCCTAATATTGCAAGTATTGTCAGGAATGGCAAGACTGCAATTTATTTAACAAATGACATCATAACCAAGACATTTCTCATAAAAATAAATAAATAAATAAATTACATAAATTCTTCACAGGTTAGACAGGGGAACGTAGTCAGGCATACCAAGTGTAAGCTTATCTCCATGGCGACCATGAGTGACTGCAATCATAATGTACAATAACAACATTCTCTAATCATAGTAATGGTGACATATCATACTTTAGGTGTGAAAATGCATCTCACCAGAATTGAAGCTAATATTGGGGTTTTAATAATCCACCAGAATAGGTCAGAATTTTCAATTATATCCCAGCATCTGGAAAAAATGGCAAATAAATGTCATGTATACATTTTTGCTTGCAATGATGAGTAAGTATTTATGTCTTGATTTTAGCATAAAATCATTGAAGGCTTTGACTGATAGGCTTATCTTACCCGACGTCATTGAAGTAAGCCTTGGCAAAGCTCCAAGCCATGATGAAAATCGTTGGGCCTCCTAGAGTGAGGTGAAATGAGAGCATATTTCAGTCAATACATCAGCGGCTGCCTCTTTACATGGCTCACTGACATAATCATTATGTCAAAGTTTAACAAAAGAAGGTTAATAAAGAAACAGATGCACATAAATACTATGACACCTACCCCAACCAATCAGAATGTACCACCAGAAGTACTTCCTCTCTGAGAAGAAGGAGACGGCCAACAGAGCATGAAGATACAGACCTTCCACTAGCAGCCAGAAGAAGCTTGCCATAATGCAATACTGGAAAAAGACAATCACAGCTTTGCAGCCAACCTGAAAATCAGAGACAGAGGAAATGAAAATAGCTTTGAGAAGTCGTTCCCACCCTTGAGTGCTCTGAGGAGTAAGGACATCCTGACATTTACCACGGTGATAACAAATTGTAAAATACTGCAGTGCGACCACTGTATGCAAATGTTTTCCACAAAAATGAAAAACGTTTTGAATATAGCCGCAACAATGATCATTTCAGATATGTCGTTCTAAAGAAATCAACTCTTCATTCAGTAGTTTCCAATGAACTAACTACATCATACATATATTATGTACTACCATCGAGTGCTTTGTGAAATAAAATGAAATTGGAAAAAAGCAGATACAGCAAACAACTTCAGTTTTGGTTTACTGTTTGCAGTATGTAAAAGGGATGGTGCAAATTGTGGCTGATAATAGCTTTAATTAGCAAATATTTTAACACCACACTACTTTAGCGATATTCCAAGATCAATATTATAATATAAAAAGTGGATAACTATTACTTTTTGATAAACATTTATAATTTTCAGTGTGTGAACATTACTTTTTTTTTTTTTTTTGCAACTGTCAGGAATCAACACAAATATAATATCTAAAACTGCCTGTATTCTAAATGAATATTAGAGGATAATGTGCTGGATTAAACATAATGGAAATGTATCCTAATGCACCAAAGTCAACAAAACCATAAATACCAACAAAGAAACATAGGACCATAAATGGCTTTTTTAAGAAGGCTTTACACACTCCTCCCACTATTGCGATGGTGATGACATCATCTTAGCCCCCGTCATCACAAAAAGAAAAAAAAAAACATTGACAGTGAAAGTTATATATTTTAATTTCAATAAAAATACAATTTAGGGCAGATTTCCAGTTTGTATCAATAAAATGTAATTATGAATGAAGGCATTTTCCAGGCTGATATTCAGATGAAAAACAAATATTTTTACTTTAAATTTCCTTTTGCATTAAGTCTTCGGTACACATAAATGGTAATCTGTTTCTTATAAATGTCAAATCATTTAATTAAAAATTATAAATTAATTTGCAACATAATTTGCAAGTTCACGTATATTAAAATATATTTACGTATATATAATTTAAATACATAACGCATATTTAAGAATTTCAAAGTAAAGGAATTTATGGCTTTTCATTTGTAAAAACTTGAATATACATATACTTTTAATTCTCACATTACAAACCCTGATTACTCTAGGTAATTATGCATATGTCATGTATTGATAGCTTTCAGTCACGTGACCGGCTCGAAGACCTGGAGGGCAAAACCTGTCAATTTTCCATCCGTTTCACAGATGCAAATATTTAGATCACCTCTCAAAAGAATAAAACAAAGGTATGTGAACAAAATGCAAGTTTTGGCCATTTGCAATCCATATTAAGCACCCGCGGCAATATTTCAATCATTAAACAGTGAGACAAACGTTGTAAAAACACTTAAAGTGCCTTCATATATTTAAAACAGTAATATTAAAAGATCAAATTCAGTAATCACTATATTAATGATGCATAGTTTACATAGGCAAGCAGATTAGGTCGGAATATGAACGCAATCCGCTTAATGGTTCAGTGTTTTCCTTCTAATGGTTTTCTATGGGAAACCATTTAACGTGAAACTTTGCACATTGTTTATATTCTGGGTTCATATGCTTGCCTGTACAAAACATACATCATCAATAAGGTGTTTACTGAATTTCACCTTTTAATATCAGCATTTTACTACATTACTACTTAATGCAAACTGCAAAAAAATAACTGGCGGTCAGTGGAGCAAACCTTCGTTTTGCCCTCCAGGTGGGCGTTCCTATGAGTGTGTGATGTCACGTGAAAACTATCAATTGCCTAGCTAGTGCTTAATTTTTTTGGGTTCCTTTGACTTCCAAAATAGCAATTTAAGCACTGGTAATAATCTTTCATGAAAGCAGTGGTTTTATTTATATAGAACCTGTGGGAGGTAGAGAGGAGTTTGTTGAGGAAGGACAGTGAGACATGGCAGGCAGACTGCAGGAGAACTATAGACAAATAACTGTGAGACAAACACACAGCAATGAAATCAGACAGGAGGGTGTAAGTGGCTGAAGGTGAAAAGGAAAAACAGAGCAAAGATACAGCATCATGCTGAAAATGCCATGTCCTCCTGCTCAAAAGCAGAACGAATTAATGACTACTAACTTCTGACTGTTCAATACAAGCAAAACCATCATGCTGAGGCCCGTAGATGTGGTGCTGCACAACAGTTTGAACACAGTTAATGATCTGTGATGTTCATATCAAGATAACTACAATATATAGGGATGGACAAGATGGATCACTAGTTTGAAACTAGGGGCTGCAAAGAAGGTGAGAAGGATTTTTTTTATGCAAAAGCAAGAAAAAACAAATATTCAGTTACTCATAAGAAAGCTAAAATGTTCATTTCTCTTTCATTGCAAAGTACATACACTATTGTTCACAAGTTTCAGGGTCAGAAATACTTTTTTAAGAAAATACTTTTATTAAGCAAAGATGCATTAAATTGGTCAAAGGTGACATTAAAGGGGTCATATGATGTTGCGAAAAAGAACATTATTTTGTGTATTTGGTGTAATGAAATGTGTTTTCCAAAGAGAAAGGAAAAATTGAAATCACATCATATGACCCCTTTAAAGACATTTCTAATGTTAAAAATATTTCAAATAAATAACTTTCTATTCATCAAAGCATCCTGAAAAAATATGTATCATGGTTTCCAAAAATATTAAGCATTGCAAATGTTTTCAACATTGATAAAAAAAATGTTTCTTGAGCTCCAAATCCGCATATTAGAATGATTTCGGAAGGATCATGTGACACTGAGATTGTGCTGAAAATTCAGCTTTGGCATCACAAGAATAAATGACATCTTAAATTAAGTACATCTTAAAATAATAAATAAACAAATAAAATACTTACAAAATCTTTTTTTACCACACCTTATAAATTAGTTTGTGTACATAAATATAGTCACATCCTGTGTGGTGAACGGAACCTAAAATCACCTGTTGAGAGTTTGGTGGAGCCTAATTGTACAGAACTAGCTAAAGATTAACAAGTCGAGTAGTTGTTTTGACACCCACCTTGATTTTGAAAGTATGTAGTTTTGCACATAAGAAAAAAACTCTGTTTTTCTAAAAATACTTCTTTGAGCTCCATGATCCGAGGATCAAAGATTCTCAAGATTCTCAAGATCTTAAACTCCGTTCCTCTCTGCAACACGTTGAAAATGAGAGTGCATGCCTTACAGGCAGGAGAAAAGAATTGGGTGGATGAAACAATCGACAGTTTAGACAGCAGAAGGCTCTGAATGATGCTTTCTGCTTTCAGGCGTGTAAAATGAGGCAGCACAGGATGAATGGATCTGGCTCATAGTTCTAATACGCACAAATCATCCCAAATTACTATGCGAGACGCAGCCTCTTGCTCAGAGCACGAAATCCCTGAAATAGATAGAAATCTTTTGCTGCAGGCTCGACCACACATGGTTAACAAACACCTTCTGCTGAGGCGAACCTCTCAACAGCCTTTTATCATGCATTTATTATGTATCATAGATAAAAACCACTGCAACTAATTCTTTTTATAAAGCTGTTTTCTGGCAATCAGTCATTCTGTCTTTTCCCATGAGCCTACTTTTATTTAAAGGTGAGAATAACGTTAATAAGGCAGCTTGACACATAACCTAGCTGTGAATATGAACTGATTCCACAGGAGATTAGTAATATTTCGCATGCAGATTAAGTCTTTAAAAGAGACTGATGTAAGACTTTTAAGGAGCACTTTTTAACCACGTAGTTCTTCATAAAAATGTAAGGATTGTAATCTATAGGCTCTGTAAGGAGTGAAAGGAGACCTGGGTTCAAATCTAAAAAAAAACTGAACTGACAGCTTTATATCTTCCAACTGTGACTTTATATCTCACAATGTGACTTTACATCTCTTAATCAATACTTTATTTCAACAACAACAACAACAAAATTATATCTCATTATTGTGAAATTATTTTGTATGAAAGCCTGCTTCATCTTCAGAATACATTTTTTTTATCTTTCATTTGTGACTTTACACATAACACAATGTGAGTGTATATGTCATAATAACAACTTTATTAGACTTTATATCCCACAGATATGACTTTAAATCTCACAATGTGCCTTTATATCTTCCAACTGTGACTTTTTATATCTCGTAATCGCAACTTTATTTCACATAACTGTGGCTTTATACCTCTCAATGTGACATTATCTTGTAATAACGACTTTATTTCGCATAATTGTGACTTTAAATCTCACAGTGTGCCTTAATATCTTCCAACTGTGACTTTATATCCCATAATTTAAACTTTATATGTCGTAATCACGACTTTATGTCCCACAATTGTGACTCTGTCTCAAAATTAAATAAATAAATAAACAAATAAATAAATACATAAAGCAAGCTTTATTTTCTATCCCACAAGGATAGAAGATTGTCTCTGATAAAAAAAAAAAAAATTTTTTTTTTTTAAATCACAGACCTAAAAAACATTCTGGGAGCCGTTAAAAAGAATCATGGAGAGGATGTAATGAATCATATCAATATGAAAGGCTTTCCTTTCAACTGCCCTTGCGTTCTGCAGGAACTATTACAGTATCTTGCTTGCCTGGTTTACAATGCTTGAAAGCTTGCTTGTAATTTTTGCAAGAGAAATAAAGCCACAATATGACTTCAAATATATATTTTACATTGTCACTTTATATCTCACAATGTGACTATTTTGAAATCATGTCTATGAATTATTTCTAACAGTTGCATTAGGGTTTATCACAATGTGACTTCTTTATTGTAAACTTCATTTTCTACTCCAAGGTGGAAAAAGCTTTCATTTGCCATTTTGTCCAGTGGGATAGACAGATAGATTGATTTTGTTTTACAGAAAATAGTCATATGAGTCTGGAGCGACAAATTTTCAGCAAACGACCTGTGAAAACAACGACTCGATTAGACGGTCTACATTCAGACATGTGCATCCTTTGTGCCACAGTGTTTCAGACCTTTTTATATCAACAAAAATCACTGTAAAAAGTCAATTTTAAAGATTTATATAATTTAAAAAAAAGTTGCATTTAAAATCCATTTGCTTTAAAATTCTAAAGAGTCAAAAGCTCAGTTTGAAAGAACATTACACTTCTGAAGATCCCACAGACGGCCTTGATCTATTGAAAATTCCTGCTCAAACTGCAGACACTGAGAGACACCAGATCTGAACACTGGACATGTGTTACAGCACACTCACTCCATATACTGTGATAAGGAGCCATGTTTTCATTGAGAGCTTTATGCTCCTTTGTCAAGTTTAATCAGTCGTCATCTTACCAGCTGAATCATCTCAGAAAATGTCCTTCACCATTACTAGCAGTCAGACGATGCTGTCTAAATACTGTGAAACGGATTCCTCTTATTTTAATAGAGACACTAGTAAACCAGCATAGTAATGGGACACTAGTAAACCAGCATACACTTGTCAGTACAATTGTGTAAAACTAGCACAAACAAAATACCCTGTTGCACCAGTGTCAAAAAATGACCCAAAGTTCACATCACTTCTTGTGATTTTGCAATGTTGTGAAAGAAAAATCTGTGAAATTCAGTTAGCTTAAGGGGCTACAACAATAACAGTGGGAGTACATGCCATCCAGAATGACTGGAACAAGCATTTTGGCAAGCTGGTTCAAACAGAGGTCACCCACAGCAGTCAATTCAGCAAGCATGTGTGAAGTTATGCTCATGGATGTTTAGCAGCAGACATAACAGTCGAGAGGCCCAAGACCAGTGAGTAAGAAAAAATGTAAACGTGATCAGCTGGGATAGACTATATTTACTAACATTGCTAGATAAATACTTGGTTTGCTGTGTGTGGATGTCACATGGTTTGCTAACTGAAACTATTACAGACTCCTGGGGGACTTATTAGAAAATAAATAAATAGATTGTGCAATAATGAACTTACAGAGTCAGTGGAGCAGTTGTCAGACTCTTGAAAAACATCGTAGAGCACCGCATCTTTGACGAAGACTGCGATGGCTTTCATAATGAAGGACACAAACAGGTGCATGTGGATGTAGTTCCGTGTGCAGTGGAGCTTCCTGAGGGAATACAAGGAATACAATCAGCCACGCTCACGGACTGAATCTAAAATACGTTAAGCCTGATTGAGAAGTCCCCTTCCCCCTAATTACACCCTGTCCTTGGAGCTAATAACGGAAAAAATGACAGCTAATTACACTACAAATGAAATCCTAATTGAGCTTTCTGGTCCATGTAAGGGGTTCGTTCAACAGATAATTTGTTGCATTGTGTTGTAGTCCATTCCACACACATTTCTATTCACGGTAATTCATGGGAATTCATAAAATCTGATTTAAAATTCAAGGTACCTGCTTATTTAATATCCTAAATGCTCATTTAATATTATCAAGCTATGGCAGGCAGTCAAATACTGACCACACTGCATCTATCATGTGGAAAAAAAGAAAGTCATGCAGGATTGGGAGCAACATGAGAGTGCGTGCATAATGGCATCATTTTCATTTAATGGGTGAACTGTTCTTTTGAGAACACATCCAGAGCTGCTTTATCCAAAACGCAGGTGTTTTTAAAAACAGAGAGAGAGACTCTGATATCCCAGAACACCCTGAACATTATCTTTTGTTTATAATGTCCATACCTCACACTAGTAAATCAGCTGACACTTTGTTTAAACACTGGTTTCGCTTTGCGCTCTGGTGAAAGGAGAAGATTTATATTCTCTCAGATACCCTAGAAAGTTGCCATGCTGTAGGGATTGTTAGTTTACAACAAGACAATACAAATAATGTGTTGTTGGGACTACATTTTTGCAGCACTTTGTAAGGCTTCTTGCCTTATTGGAATAATCTAAATAAATCCCATTTAGCCACTTATGAGTCTAAAAGAAATACAATTATGACTTTATGGCATTCAAAAGTTTGGGGTCTTTAAGAACTTTTAATATTTTGAGAAAGAAAAAGTCTCTTTCAAATGCAGAAGGTTGCATTTATTTGATTAAAACTACAGTAAAACAATACTGCAAAATATCATTACAATTTAGAAGAACTGTTTTCTATTTTAATATATTTTATGTTATTTATTAATATAATTTATTCCTGTGATGGCAAAGCTGAATTTTCAGCAACATTACTCCAGTCTTCAGGGTCACATGATCCTTCAGAAATCATTCTAATATGCTGATTTACAGCTCAAGAAACATTTCTTATTATTATCAATGTTGAAAACAGCTGTTCAGCACTTGTGGAAACCGTGATGCATTTCTTCAGGATTCTTTGATAAATAGAAAGTTCAACAGAACAGACTTTATTTTAATTAACTTTTTTTTTTTTTGTAACAACATAGTGTTTACTGTTACTTTTGATCAATTTAAAGCATCTTTGATATTAATTTCTTTAAAAAAGATTTTACTGACCCCAATATTTTAAATAGAAGTGTACGTCTCAACTTTAACAAAGTTAAATACATGATGGTTTTGCATTTTGTCTTTACATGCAAGATTCTATTAACCCAGAAGCCAGTTCCTCTTTATGAAAATCATGAAACTTTTGTCACATATGTTATCACATATCTCACCACAAGGTTTACATTCTGGCACAATGAATGCATGTAATGAAGACCTGTTATCAATTAAGAGTTAGAGTAACCATGTTTTTCAATGGCTTATTATGAAGTCTTTCTTTTGTCTACCAATTGCATTACTAAAGCCATTACTGGAAGAGAGCTGAACTGGATGATGACATCACTGAATCAATGAACTGACTTTAACTTGAAAAATGACTGTTTGTTATTGTCCTCTTGCATTATTGACAAACTATTTTCCTGTTTGACTCTGTAAAGCTGCTTTGGCACAATCTGTATTGTATAAAGCGCTATACAAATAAAGGAGATTTGACTTGGCTTGACTTAAAGAGTCAGTTCATATTGAGTTTCTTTTAATTAGTTTTTTTGTCTGGTTTTTGATTTACAGTATTGGATTTTCATTTGTCTACCTTCCTTTGTGATGTCCTTCACTAGCTAGATCAATCACTGTAGTGTCAAAACGCATGCATGTTGTTTGCTGTTTAATCCTCGACAGCTTCAGTGATTCAGTGACTCGCTCCATGATGCCCTATGGTGAATCTGGGGTTGGCTACAATCACACATGAAGCACTGTTTTCTGTGTTTAAAGTAGTAAATAATGTATATCGGCTTTGTTATAGTTTAATCATGACAACTCTCGGAATATTTTAGCATGGTGATGGATATGAGTTAATGTATTTGGTCTTGGTGGAATAGATCTGCTACGCTGCTGCTGCTGCTGAATTGCTGCTGCTGTTGGTTATTACTGTAGTTGTAGATTATTGCTGCTGCTGCAAGCAAGTACAGGAACTTGCTACTGCCAATGCATACGGCGATACGGTGCCGTGAGTATTTAAGACATACTGCTGCTGCACAAATAGCATATAAAATAACCCGTAGCAGATTTATACAGGTGGAGCTGGGGAAGGTGGAGGGATTCAGAGAAACTATGAAAGCGCGCTCCGGGACTCTCTAGTGAATGCTAGCCAGCCATATAAATGCAAGGCAGTAAGCTCATTGGCTGCAAATGCAGCATGAACCAATCAGCTTGTGCCAAGTCGTTTAACTCACTGAATATCATCAGTTATGTTAACAAAACATCAGCCTGCGCCATCTAGAGTTTCATGGCTAAACTATATATTTATGTGGCCAGTAAGATGAATTCTAAACAATGTGTGGAAAAGTTACTTCATTACTTCAGAAATCCATTTGTTTTGATACTGTGCCAAAAGCCTGCTGAAATGGACTTAAAATATTATACATTACAGCAGGCAAAATCTAACTTATACAACTCCTGGTTTGGATATTTGAAGAGATCCACTGTATATGGATAATAACCCTGAATTAAACATTAGAAAACAAATGTGAAAGAGTAATTGAAGCGGTGTTATCTTTAACAAAAAATAATACTAAAACTATAAAGGAAAACTTTTTTGTTAATCAAAATAAATATAAAAATTAGATGTAAAATGTTTCCTTGGCAAAAGTTTAAGCTGAAGTATTAAAATTACTAACTGAAATAAAACTAATCTTGAAATAAATCTAAAACGGAAAACTAAGTTAAAACTATTCAGAATAAAAAATAAAAACTAGTAAAAATGTCAAAAGAACATAATATAAAAAAAATTAAAATAAAATTAAAATAAAAACCTAAAATAGAAAAATAACATCTAATTAAAACTATTAATACAAACTATAATAGTATATAAATAATAATAAAAATGTTGGATTGACGGCATTACCAGTGGTTATATTTCCAGCATTGTTTTGAGCATACTGTTTTTTCCATATTCAAAACACAACACAAGAAAAATAATTTCCATCATTGTTTAAACAAATTACCCCACAGATTTTGTTTGTAAGTGCATTACTGTAGATTTTTGCTTGCTGAGTCTTAATTATTCAACAGCATGTCACAGATGCTTTCTATAAAGCTTAAATTTGAAATGAACCCATTTACAAATAGGTTTTTATTAAAATACAGCTTTTGAAGTTTTATATAAGTTACCATTTTAATTGCATAACATTGCAGTTTTCCCTAACTGACTATAGCTTTACATTTTTTTGAGTTAAAGGTCAAATCCCTGTGTTTCCTTTAACCTAGCACTCATGCACAGGTATGTCGTCTCTGGTTTGCTCATTTTACATGCTGTGATCTGACACTATCAGCATGATCTTACAGGCCTATGTTGCATCTCTAGTGCGTGGCCATCTGCAGGATCACCTTGACATACCTCTGACAGATTTGGACACTACAAAATTTGTACCAAGTGTTTCTTTTGTGTTCATTTGTGAAATGAACATTACTTGGACACATTCACTTCTGCTTTGTAATGTAGACACATGCACTTTCTATAAAGCTGCTTTGAAACAATGTGTATTGTAAAAAGCACTATACAAATAAATTTGAATTGAATTGAATTCTTGGTGAAGGTACAATTTAATTAGACCGCAGACTGTTTTCACCAAGCAAAGACAACTTGTGACCTGAGTCATTCAATAGAGTGGGAGCAAGTGTTCAAACCGGCAATAATAACAACCTGAGGTGTGATCAGGTCTTCAGTCCCTGTCAGTCACTGAAATCCCACATCAGACTGATATCCTCTCAGTTAAGACTGCTTAAGCCTGCAGCTCGAGTGCAGATAGTGTTAACAGACAGGATTAGGACTGATTACATTGCTGGAGAGCTGAACATGAGCAGCTTTATCGAGAAGTAGTGCTGCTCTGCCATACTGGTGGTGACACACATCAACCTTATTACTGATGAAAATGACAGCATTTGAGGAGGTGATTGAGCTTAGAGTTGGTAATCAGAAGGAGTGAGCCGTGAACTATCACATTTGTGCCCTTGAGCAAAGCACTTAACCCCAGCATGATCCAGGGAGGATTGACGCTGTGCAAGTTTACAGCAAAACGCATGCACTTTTATAGGTCATCCTTTTATACGTTTGGTAAATCAGTCAAATACTGCAGAGTAAGATGAGGGAAGATGCCAATGTGCATTTACTTTTAAATTGTAACATATTTAGATATAAGATAACATGTGCAGGATGATGATGCATCAGCCAGTGTTATTATAGGAAATAAATAGAAACATTTGCTAATTTATTTGTCATGAAATAAAATGTAAAAATATTTTGTGCCATTTCTGGGTGACCATCTTACCACAAGGATCTAATTTGATCTTTTTACTTCAAAAAAAAAAATAATAATTTGGTTACACTTTATCTTAAGGTGTCCTTGTTACAGTGTAATTAAACATTTAAGTACTGTGTAATATTAATTAACTACATGTACATACTATATGGTTAAGGTTAGGATTAGGGTATGGTTTAGGGTTACTTGCATGTAATTATGCATAATTAATTGTTATTATAATAGTAAGTACATGTAACGTGTAACAAGGACACCTTAAAATAAAGTGTTACCTATAATTTTTACTCAACAAATCTAAAGACACACTGATGTGTCCACAAATCCCTCTTTAACAAACAGACACACACACACACACACACACACACACACACACACACACACACACACAAACTCTGACATTCAACATAATACAATGTCATATTTAACAGAGACACAAAATTAGATCAGTTAACCTCAAAACTGTTTCGACTGACTAAATCTCAAAATGTTCATAGTCAGATGAAAATTACCAAATTAAAAATAGCGCGGCCATTCATCAAAAGTAATGAAATGAGATTTTGTGCCCTCTATGGTCAAGATAAAAAATTGGTGGGGGGTCATTTTGGTCCAGGGGTATCTTACCTCATCTTACCCTACTAATGTTGCAATTATTATGGGTGATTATGAGTAAGCTACATCCATAGCAGTTACTATAATGAGCATGTCACAGGAATGTGCCATGTCAAAAATGAATCATCCACCAGAAGAGCATCATACATAGTCTGATCCACAAATGTATGCAGTGTTTAATACATACATAAATTATATTGCCTAAATCATCAGAATGCTACCTTGGTGCCATTTAAAGGGTTTTAAACCGTGTTTATGGTTCAAAGTATCACTACTGGGTTTATATGTGAGCACTAATGCACACTGGAATGATTCTCTGATTGTGGGGAGTCTTGTTTGGCCAGGATGAAATGTGTGAGTTGGAATATACATGTAAGAAAGCTCTTATCTCTGTCATTAGAAGACCGTTTTGCCTCTGGTGAGCTAGATCAATCACTGTAGTGTCAAAACGCATGTTGTTTGCTGTTTAATCCTCGACAGCTTCAGTGATTCAGTGACTCGCTCCATGACGCCTCATGGTGGATCTGGGGTTGGCTACACCCTTACGAAAAAGAAGTTTATTCAAGTGTGCTATTAGTATACTTCTTTTAAACTAAAAATAGGAAAGTATAACGCATGAAGCACTGTTTTCTGTGTTTAAAGCCTGTTAACCATTAACTTAATCAAAATGACATTCTTCAATGTGAAACATTAGTAGGACTCAAACCGTGCCCAGTATTTGACAGCAAAAAACATTTATAAAAGGCAAAAAATAATTTTTGTGTGTGTGTGTAGTAAAATAGTATTTTTTTTTGTCTAGAAACATTCAAATGAATTCTAATAAACATTTTAAATTAATATTTTAAAATATATATTTAAAATAGTAATATTTAAAAATTCTACATTTTAATAGCCACAACTGTGTTCCACACTATACATTTAAATCTCACTATTTAAAAAAAAGGAATAACATAGAGAGAGAGAGTTTCAAGCACTTGTACCTTGTATTTGTACCCTGTTCTTCGACCGCATGCATTTGATTTGTATAAAAATAAGCAGATGTAATTATACTTCACCCTCAGTTAATTTTAAAGAACTGTCAGTTAGGCAGGAAGTAATTTTCCTTAGAAATAATTGCCTTGGATAGGGCTTTAAAACTAGTTAAAGCAAGTATGATAGCATAAACATGACACATCTAGAGAAATGCAAAACTATTTTTGCAAAAGAACATAATTCACCCCTGCACCAGCAAATGTTAGCATCAGTTTCAACAAATGTAGAATTTCTTACCTGGATATACAAAGTATTACAATGGCAGTGGTGAGAGAAATGAGAGAAACACTGTGCCCGATGGTGTAGCCGATCTTCACCGACCTAAAGAAACTATCCTGCAAAAGAAAAGAAAGAATACAGTTAACTAGTTCAAATAGAACAGAAGATTTTTTATCTTTTTGAATCTTCAAATTACACTACTGTTGGTTTGAGGTCAAGATTTTTTTTGTTTGAAAGAAGAAATGAATATTTTTTATTGAGCAAGGACACATTACACTGAAAAGACATTTACAATGTTACAAAAGATTCAATATTTTAAATAAATTCTGTTTCTATTCTAAATGTTTCTTTAGCAGCAAATCAGCATATTAGAATAATCTCTGAAGGATCATGTTTTTACTGTATTTTTGATCAGTAGAAGACTTCTTACTAAAACATAAAAATTTGTACAGACTCCATACTTTTATACAGTGTGATTGGTTATGGTATCATGTTTTTTAAACATCATTAAACATGGTTTATAGCAAACCATTCTATTAAAAGCAAGAAATCGAAATTATTTTGCTTTATGTGTAAATCTACATGATTTTTTAACAGCATACTGCTCTTACGTATGATGACAGTGGGGTCAAAACATGCATTTACAACCTCCATAAACACTACAGCTCAAAAACAAAACAACCACGGTATCTAAATATGACTCAATGCACTGACTTTTTTGTCCATTTCTGGGATCCTGAAAAGGATGTTTCTTTTTTGTGGTAAGAATGAGTACTGTGCTGTCTCTCCAATGCAAAGCTTTGCTAAAAGACTCACCTGTGTAGAACATATTTAAATAACCCCCTCTATAGTCTTTGACCGAAGTTGAATATAAAAACCTGAACATGGCAACAAGGAGCATCACACTTGAATAAACAAAAACATAAAATTCCTTTTAAAGGGGTCATATGATGCGATTTCAAGTTTTCCTTTCTCTTTGGAGTGTTACAAGCTGTTCGTGAATAGATAATATCCCTGAAGTTGCAAAGACTAAAGTGTCAAAACCAAAGAGATATTCTTTATCAAAGTTAAGACTCTGCCACACCCCCCTAAAACGGCTCGTTCTAACACGCCCCCACATATCTAGGTCACTATGTGGGAATATTTGCATAATGCGCCCAAATGTGCACGCAAAGAAAGAAGGCGTGGTTTCAGTAACCGCAGTTAGTGTTGAAGCAGCATGTCAGGGAGACGCTGTGTGTTTCTAGGCGAAAGCAAAAGCCAACATATTCTGTTACACCAAATACACCAAATAATTATATTTAAAAAAGCATCATATGACCCCTTTAAGTCCCATGCCCACATATTCCCAGTGGGTCTGAAGACTGTGCGTGCTGATTACCCATCCTGTTGATGTGAACACATGCTGGGAAAGCTTTCATCAAAGGGCAAAGGTCATTTGCTCTTCACTTAACTACACTCTGCTCAAAAGATCAAGGTGTTTCATGTTATATAATACCTGCTTCAGTGATGGATTATTAGTATGTTTACAAATGTATCCAAAGCCTGACATGACGTGCAATGCTAAATAAAGGAACTATTATGTTTGGACTTGTTACTTTGCACTAGGCAATAAAAGGCTGGCTGGAAAAGGAGGCTAAAAGGTTGACTGAAAAAGGGTGAACGTTAAAGCTTGGGTTTTTTGGGTGAGGAACACTCAATATGACATGAGAATGATCGCTTTCTGTTAAAAGCTAAAAGCTAAAAGTTCAATACGTCAAGAGTCTGAGCATTTCAGTGTTGTATAATGCCAGTGGAGTTGAAAACACTAGTTTGACATAACTTTACTAAGATATTTTGCATGTATGATGCTCTCTCAACCACCTTAGAGATGGTAAAGTACACTGTAAAAAACACAGTAAAAACCTGCATTTTGTTAACTGATATAATGTTAATATACCAACATATTGAAGTACTAAAATCTGCTTTGTACCTTTATAATACCTTTATAAAGAAGGTTATTATAAATAGAAGGTTATTATAAATACCTTTATAATAACCACCAAAAACACAGGTCGTAATGAGAAAACCATATGTAGAATCACAAATAGATTTTTCACAATCTGAGGCAAATACTAATATAAAGAAGGTGCTTGTTGTCATAAACATAACTATAAAACACCATCATGGTAACACATGTGACACTAAAATTACACAATGAACATTAATTTAACAACATAAGATGTAACATAAAACCCTAATGTAACTGATCAAAAAAAGTAACAAGAAACAGTTATTTCATATGTGAAGGGTCACATAGAGGATTCTGGGAATGTCAATTCATGGTTTTCACTGTAAATTATAAGATGACTTGATCTTTTTCACTAAATTTAACAGTATGAAATGTCCAATTAGATTTATTACACTATAGTGAAGGAACTCTTAACCAAATAACAAGTTGTCACAGTAGCATTTTACAGTCTTTTACCATTAAAATTACAGGTACGCTCATTTTTATAGTGTACTTTGTACCTACATCGTCAATAGTGCCATTCAGATTATAGCCACAATGCACTGCGATTTCCATTGGGTCCATCTCGGTCCAGCCATCAGCAGTGCAGGTCTTTGAGAGGTTACCTGTGTGAGAAATTTAAAGGTCATTCACCTCAAGATTCACACACTGGCTGCTCTGTTTAGAAGCTGCATCTGTTTATTACACTCTCGACTTTAACCGCAGTGAGCCCCGATAGCTGGCGTCCTGGAGTGTGTCCACACAATTAAAGTCAAACAGCTTTCTGAACTAAAGTAGAGACATACGGGCCACGTCATCCCTCTCACTGAGGTGTTTCTTGGCCCTTCTCAATGCACAATGTCCCACTGAATGCAAAACTCTGCATCCGATCAATACACAAAGAGACCCGACAGAGGACTGTGGCTTACTGAGCGAATTGTTTTGATCTATGCTGTATACAAACATGAACAATGAATTATTGAGATGCTTGGAGGAGAAAAACAACATTTTCCGGGTCATAGGATTTGTGTTGAGGAAGCTACACTGAAAAAAAGTAGTGTAGAAACAATTTTCACTCAGAAATTGCTTGCAAATTTACAGTTACAAAGACATTATTAACACAAACTTTTATGCAATTAACACAGTGAATTAAACATTAACGTTTGAAGTAGAAAAACTGAAATAATATTTTCTTACTAAAACATACTCCAAAAACTATTTTATTTTAAAATATTTTAAAAAATATTTTTTGAAGTGTACTTTGAAACTGTAATCACTATTTGAATGAGTTAAAATACAGTAAAAATACTGGTTGAAAAGGTAGTTAGCTACACTGTAAGATATTAACAAAATTAATTAACTACATTGAATATTTACTTTGAGCATTGTTTTTATAAATAAAAAAAAATCAAATAATACAATTTTTGTAATTTGATTTTTTTTTCTGTCACAAAAATCTAAATAAAAAATAAAAATAAATTAGCTTGAACAGGTAAATTTATACTAAATACAACAAAACATCCTAATTTATGTAACCAAATCAAAACCAGTACATAGTACTATAGGTATTTAAATTAGTGAATGTTTTTTTTTTAAATCTGTTTATTCAACACAACCAATTTACAAAAATGAGTATGAGTATGAATGAGATTTTCCAACGCTACATATGAGAGAGAGAACAATTAAGTTGAACTAATTCACAAGACTGAATCAGACTTTCCAACTCTACATGTGAGAAAGAGAATCGTTTAGGAACCATTTCACTTAATTTAATCAAATTTTAGCTACACATGACAGAGAGGACCATTTAAGATGAATCTATCCACTAGAATGAATCCATTCATTTCAGATTCTACATTTGAGAGAGAACTGTTACGGATAAATCGATTAACTAGAATGAATCAGACTTTCCAACTCCACATACAGCAGGGAACCTCAAATCTGGTCCATGAGATCCACTTTCCTGCAGAGTTTAGTAACCCTAATCAAACACACCTGAGCATGCTAATCAATGTCTTCAGGATCATTAGAAAATCACAGGTAGGTGAGTTTGATCAGGGTTGGAGCTAAACTCTGCAGCGCATTGGCCCTCCAGGGCAAGATTTGAGGAACCCCGATATACAGTATGGAAGAGAGAACTGTTTTCCCACTTTCCCACTCCATATACAGCATGAGAGAACCATTTCAAATGAACTGATTCATTAGAATGAATCTGACTTTTACGTTTGCACTACTCGTTAAAAAAGATTAGCTTGTTACTGGAAAAGCTATAGTACTTTGAAAACAACTAATGTTACACTACTGAAAATGTAGTTGAGACCAATAAACTAGTGTTCAATTAATTCTGAGAGAATTTAGATTATACCACAATCTGACTTCTCCAAAAACCTTTCGCATAAGAATAAGGGGGATATTCATGGACTAGGTGTAGGTATCCCACAAGGATGATTCATTTAGAAACAGTATTGTCTTACGGTCCACAGAGTTTGAAAAATATGATGTATACTTCAGGAGGAAGGACACTTAGTTCCTTACTTAGTGCATTCATAGTGGGTCCCATGTTACAATGTATTAGTTTTGATCCAAAACTAACCAATCAATTTCACTCAAGCTTGAATTAAAAAGAATAGGTGAATGAGTTCCTGTGTGGGTTTTCTTCAGTGTGCTTGTTATGTGAATGCTGAAAGAAGCTGTTCCATAACATTACAAAATGAACACTGAACAGAGCTATACAACAGTGTTCTCAAATGGAGACACAGAACACACTTTAAAAACACAAACAAAAAAATAATACTTTCCAAAGGAACAAATGCCAGCAGAAACAACTTAAATGTGTCATATCTACACACAAAGACCACCTGTGCCTGCCTTGACAGGAAGTGACCTCCACCTTTATAACATTCATGTCTGCTGCTGAATGAATCATACTTGCAGGTACAGTACAAACCATTTTTCAAATGTTGGAAAGATTTTTGGCCAATTACAGGATTTTTTTTACTTTTTCCAAACTAATATCTTAATGCAAGTAGCAAATCACACTTTGGACTAAATTTGAAGCTGACAAAACAAGGGAAATGTCAATAAGGTCTGCTTTACTGTCTACTTGTTAAAAATTAATTGGCCATTGTTTTGTCTAGTTTTGGCCTCCGACTCACCCTGGGAAGAATCAAGTAAACAACATGAATCTGTGCCATTACTATCAAAAAATAAAACAACATTTTGCTGTTATTTTCCCCTTTTGAAAATTGAAAAAAATAAATAAATCAATAAAAAGCTGGTTTCATAATTGGAAAACATATGCAAAACTGATCTGTTTCTAAAACTTCTAACTCTAGGCATAAAATTAAGAAAATGATGTATTATCTCCCCTATAATTAACCAAAGACAATATTTTTGTCATTAATATATTTTGTCACTTTGATAAGCTGTTTAGAGATTTATTGGTCATTTAATGTGTATTGATCTGTTCATTCATCATTTGGAAGATGCACCATAAAAAGTCAATAATGGTAAGTACTAAACAGCTGCAGTATGTCAAGGCAACAAAAGCAGCACTTCTCTGGTACTGTACGTGAAGGTTTCTGTGTCTGCAAGTTAACTGGCTGAATGGCTCATTAAGAAAATAGACCAAAATAAATTAATTGACGGAAAGCACAAACATTAAATTAACAACAGATTAATAAACTAATGCAATGATTAATGAAATGATTAATACGCTTTAACATTAACTTGTGATTAACATCAATTAAACTGTTTCTGTTGCTGACAATTATACGGTTCATTTAGTGGGCAATAAAAAGAGAATAAAACAGCAGCCTGACAAATTATAGATCAGTAAAATTGAAGCTATTGTAAGATACATTACATAAATTAAGGGCAATTTTAGATTACTAAAAACTGGAGGTAACTGCAATTGTTTCGAGATAGCTGGTGGTTCCTGTAGATTTGGGATGTTTTGTGGTCTGCAGATTATACTCTTGAAGTGGAACTCAAGAGTAATAATATATTATTGTAATATAATATAATATAATATAATATAATATAATATAATATAATATAATATAATATAATATAATATAATATAATATAATATAATATAATATAATATAATATAATATAATATAATATAATATAATATAATATAATATAATATAATATAATATAATATAATATAATATAATATAATATAATATAATATAATATAATATAATATAATATAATATAATATAATATAATATAATATAATATAATATAATATAATATAATATAATATAATATAATATAATATAATATAATATAATATAATATAATATAATATAATATAATATAA